CCCCATGCACCTTGTGTCTGCGCTCTGGGTGCAGATTTCTAGAGCTGGTTGTTTAGCAGTCCTGAGCTTTCACTCCCTCCCCGTTTCGACTCCTTTCTTCCCACCGGGTTCTGGGGTGGAGGAGAGTTCGAGTCCTGCCTGGCCACGGCTTTTATCTTACCCCCTTCATGTGATTTTGAGTTCTCACAGATGTAGATGTATCCTGGCTGTTGTACTGCATCCACTTGGGATTTAGTTCTTTTAATTCCAATTATACTATGACAACTCCCTCAATGGATTTCTGTAAGTGAAAATCTGGGTCAGAGTAAAAGAGCTACACATGGAAGGATTTCCTGAAATCCCAGGCTGATTCCAGAAAATATAGGTCTTCTTCTAATTTGACCAGGACTGGTGTTCAGCACGTTCATGCCCTTTTGGCTCCATTAACTCTAAATTTATTGAAATACTTCTATACTACACCGATAAAATGCTGATGCCAAGGTTACCCATGTGTCCTCTTTGTATGCCCACTCAGCTTCATCCCTGGGTGCTTTTCAATCCCCGAAATCAGGCAAATGAAGGGGTGATGTCTGGTAGAGCAAGACTTTCCAAGCTACCCCAGTATTATGGCTGGTGTGACTACTGGAGTATAGGTACCTGTGCCAAAGCAGTGTTCAAATATTTTGGTTATTACCCTTGGGGAAATATATTGGTTCTAGACTTTGGGAAAAAAGTGGGGAAGGGAGGGGCTTTAACACTAATAAAATATGAGTGGTCTGAGATATGAGAATGGGGCCACAAGGGCCCAAAACAGAATCTTATCTTTTTTAGAGTTCATCTGAGGTCCAATAACATGGGTGTGGCAATATCGTTAGAATAAAGTTAAATTGGAAGCATTCTCTATTCACGAACTTAGATTACAATTATCCTAAGGAGAAAAAAATATCATCCTTTATGCTGTTTACTGTCACAGCCATTTACAAATGCAATATGAATCTTTTCTTTTTTCTTTTTTTTTTTAACCATGGTATTGTATTTCCAGTCAGTATTAAAATCAGTATTCCCCAGCTCATCTCCTGTCACTTCCTGATTTACAAAGCAGAAATCCAGGGCTCAAGTCATATTTGAACTTGATGGGTTCATTTATGACAAGGTGCCTTGGCACATGCCACCTCTTCTTCCTGGAATATGTCACCTCTCATTATACCAGTGACCCTTCAGTCTTCAAGGTGCAGATCAAATGCCATTTCCAGTGCATATTCTCTGCCTATGTGAAGTTTCATAGGCCACAGGAATGATTTTAGACAAATTCTTTTATAACTTTATAACTTTAAAAAGGAGAAGAGAAATGTGTCTGCCTTTGTAATATACTTCTCATATTCCATTAAAAGCATATTGATTCTAAATATTTTAAAAGAAGATGATTATCTGACTGAGAAATTAGATTGTCCTACCTTACTATTCTAAATAGTGAGGTTTAAGTGATCTTGAAATGAAAAATTCTCTTTCATATGTAATTATCTAACTTTCTACATATCTATTTATACTTCTAGATAATATATGAATAGATATGTGAGTTTTAATTCTATGAATTTAATTAATCACTTCTTAAGTAAAATAGAGATGTCCTTCTGGAGAATGCCACTAATTTAATTATAATGCATTTCCTGATTATGGAGACCTTGTTTCCTTTCATAATATAAAAAGTTAATTAATAGACATATAAGATAGCAATTTTGCTGTCAGAGGTCTCCTTTTACTTACCTCAAAATAGTTTTAATTAACCCAAATTTTATGTAGTATGCTTTTATTAAAGAGTAAAAGGATATGTTTCACAGTGTAGTAAGGTTAGTGTAGCATGACAAAACTAAGATATTTTCTCATATTACAAGAATTTTTGATTATGTATTGTTCACCTTGTGTCACAGACATCTTTTCTGTAAAGTACCATAATGTTATGGGGAATAAAATATGATTTATTCTCTTAGTCAACTTACATCTAGCAAGGAAGTTAATCCACAAATTTGATTAAGTTTATAAAATAAGAAAACAGCACATTCCAACTGGTAGGCACTATGGATAACCATATGAAGAGGAAGATAATCATGATAACCCTATGAGGCAGATGTCATTAATAGCCTCATTTTATAGGTGAGAAAACGGAGGCATAGAGACAATAATTGGTTTTCCCAAGATCACTTTATTAGTAAGTGACTGGATTCAGCGTGCAGCAGTGTGGCTTCAGGGTCTGTCCAGCTAACCTCCAGGCTGCACTTCTAAACCAAACATTAAAGGAAGAGGACACTTTCTTTCAGAAGTGAGGACTGCAAGGGAAGTTTCCAGATAACAAGAGAAATTAGAACATGGTTTTAAAGAATGAAAAAATTTGGATTGATTGAGATGTAAGTGTGTGGCAGAAAGGGGACAGGAGGTAGCCTTGAGGAAAGAAATAGCAAGGACATAGAAATAAAGTTAGAAAAACACAACGTAAAATCATAGGATCATAAACAGGGTAGTTAAACCATATATGAGTTTTTTATTTAGAATTGTGAGAAAGATTTATGTATTCACAGTGCTTTTGGAGATACCATTATTTGGCAAGTTACCTAATCATCTTAGTAAAACAAAATTCATCCTTAAACTTATTTTGTGCATAAATCAATCCTGATATTGAAAATTACACATTTTCGCACGTCTTAAATGTCAGTCTGTTATTATTCTTAGGATACCTTATTTTCACTGACTGCACCCAATCATACTAAGATATCTTCATGTCAAGAATTTACTGCCTACTCAAAGAAAACCTTTTTTTTTAAAGAATGTAAGTGATTGGATTCAACACGCAGCATCGAATAGTAGTAACAATCTCCAGGTAAACTTTTTCTGGATACAAATGCAACATTTGAAAGCTGCAATTCATACCCATTTTCTTTTCAGGTAAACCAGTGATGATAGTGACGGAGTATATGGAAAATGGCTCTTTAGATACATTTTTAAAGGTAAGATATCAGACAAATTTAGTTCTTCAAAGTGTTATTTATATATTGACTGTGGTGTTGAACTTGAAATTGAACCACTTTAAAGCTAAATGTTTACACACATAGAAAATTCTGGCGTCAGAATAATTACACTCCAAAAATGAACTTTGGTTTGAAGATTGTCCTTTCTAGCTAATTTACACAAATCCAAATTATATGTCCCTACAGTTTTATTTATGTATATTATGTATATGTTAATTTGCCCTAAAAATGGCAAATTAACATTCCTAAAAAATGGGAAAAAAGCAGAAGGAAGTAAAAAAGGAAGAAGAACAGAGAAAAGAAAGAAAAGGCAAGAGAAAAAGGTGCTTTTGCAAGTACCTAAGTTTCTCAGAGTACAGAGTATCAGACAGAGCAAGCAAAAAATATCTGCAAGGTCCTTGCTGATCATCTGTATCAAGGATGGGGTCAAACAGACTTACTCCCCATCTGAGCGCCAGCCACAGTGTGTGCCTGTGAAGTTTTCAATAGTGGTTATAGACAATGTTACCAATCTTGTCAGATCTTTAGGGTTTTAGGAAGAGAATATTTTTTATGTGCCAGTCTCCAAATCTTAAATATCAGCAACACATTTTATTAGTAAATAGCTTGTGCTAGACAATGTAAACACGTTTGTAGGCCTGATGATAACCTGCAGGCTGGCAGTTTTTCACATTGAGTACAGCAAGTGACACTATCGGACACCAGCATTCCCAAGGATGCTGAGGGGCCTGTGCATGGAATCAGACAGCAGCCTCCTGAGAAGGCAAAGTTCCCTTCTGATCTCCAGCCTCTACCAGATCCTGTTGCCAAATTTCTTACACAGATCTTCAAGGCTCCAGTCTCCTAAGGTCACATCATGCTTTTGTTTTAAAATAATCATCAGTTGAACCTTATTCTATGTACCTACGGTAAGTTCAGTGCCCTGAATAAAGACAGGAAAATTCCACGAAATACTAAGTGTGTCCAGTCGTTGCTCTGTCATTGCCCCCAACTGCTATTGCACCATCTCCCTTATTTCCTGGGGCCACTTCTTTACCCCAATATGCCTATCCAGCTGGCTTCTTTTCAAGCGCTTCAAAAATGTGCAACGTTAACTAAGGCAGACACTAGGCTGCCGTGATGAACACTCTCCTCTGATGATTCAGAATAAAGGAATTACAATGCAGAAAAGGACAACTGAATGAGATCTTTGACAAGGGCATTCAACACCTCTATGTGCTTTGACCAAATAGAGGACTGGTAAACAACACAAATATACATTTCCTATATTTGTCCATTCTTCTTCAGATAGAAATTGTATACGAATTTGTTGATAGTATTAATTTGGGGATTGAAGGAAGACCCTTTCATAGTTTCCCCCAGTGACTTGTTTTGTTGGCTAGTATTCCTACATTGTTTTTACAGAAAAACGATGGGCAATTCACTGTGATCCAGCTTGTTGGCATGCTGAGAGGCATTGCTGCAGGAATGAAGTACCTTTCTGACATGGGCTACGTGCATAGAGACCTTGCTGCCAGAAACATCTTAATCAACAGTAACCTTGTGTGCAAAGTGTCTGACTTTGGACTTTCCAGGATACTGGAAGATGATCCTGAGGCAGCCTATACCACGAGGGTAAGATCTAACACAATGCATTTATGGAACACGAGACTAGAGACATTTAATTTTTAAAGTTTTTAACGGGCATAGCAAAAAAGGACATTTGTCCAACATACAAAGAGAGAGGAAAAACGGGGGAAGGACAAAAAATTCCAGATAATTCTTTGTGTTAATAGCAGCAAATTCAAATATTAAACTCTGATAAACAACGTATTCACCTTATGAATCTCAAAAATTCATTTTTTCTTACAGATTCTGAAAATAAAATGTTTGAGTTCAGAGTGAATACAATATAAAAATCATACAAAGTTTTAAATATATAAAAAAAGAGACAATTTCCTCCATTATAAAAAATCAGTATAATATATATATGAATATATAAATAAGGATAGCATAACTCTCTCACTGTAGTATCTTCATTAGGTAGCTTAAACTCTCTCACTGTAGTATCTTCATTCACAAAACAAATACAGAAATATTTAAACCTACCTTTTTGAGGATGCACATGTTAGGGAAGAAAATAACTATTCCTTCAAACAGTTTTGATTTGCTGGAGATATTTTAATGCCTAATTGCTTTTCTGGTATACTATGTAAACTGTGAAGCCCACATCTATGGAAAATTGTTCACTAACTTGTACTGTCATACTTAGCATAAATCAACACTTTTACACCAGTATAATTCTTCCTGTATTAATATGGTATATAACAGGCAATTCTTTCTGTGGAAAACTGGATATTGGTGCAACAGAATTTTCTGGGCAGCCTATGTATTGCACTTCTTGAATTTGAATCCCTTATGATAAATTACATTTGTTTAATTCTAAATCTTTTCAATGTCAAGAAAACATGAAGTTAGATATTTCCATGTTCAATTTTTTAATTAAATGTTTAAACTCCTTGTGAATACATAAATCTGTCAGTGTCTTTTTCGATATACAATTTGTTAACTTTTGTTTCAATATAGAATGCTCGTCATCTCACATTCTTAGGTAGATGTGTTACAGACTTTCTTAATTCAACTTCTAAAAATTACTTTTACTCATAGTCTGACAAGAAACTCTTTTCATAGATTATAATGCTGTTTTTTTTCCTCATTGTTGCTTTGTGACTCTTGGATATTTAGGGATTATACTGTGCTGACTATCCAGAGTAATTTACCTAAGCAAACAAAGCCTTTAATGGTCAGCTTAATAAATCAATAAACTAATGATGGTATATCCCTCTTCTTCTGACCTAATTATCATTGCCATTATTTGCATGAAATGAAGCCTCAATTAAAAATGCTCCTGGGATTAAGTTGCACTTCATAAACTTGGCCTAAGCAAAAATGAGGTTATAGAAAAATCCATTCTCAGTGTAATTGGTTGATGTCTTAGTTAGATGCATAAAGACTTGTCAATGTCTGTGTCAGTATGCCCTGCTGGGGGAAGGGGGTAATAGGGAGGGGACCGGGTAAGAAAGAGAGGAGGCAGAGATTCTGAGACTCTCAATACTTACTCCTCTGAAATAGTACATGGTGGCAGTTTATGGAAAATCCATATACTGAGAGATGAGAAGGTAAGGGAACTTTCAGATTATATTGATGTCAAATATGGTCAGAGGACCAGGAAAAAAATTATAGGTGAAGTTTAATGTAATCAACAAACCATAATTTTAAGAAGAAGAATTAAAATGTATTATAGAATACCACATATAGCTGGGCCTGATGATGTAATCTTACCTATGAATATTTAATTAACAAAACTATGCTTTAGGAAAATCTTAAAATGGTGTTACCATATATCCAAGTAGTAAATAACTCAAATTTAGTTTGAATAATTCAAATTAACTTCAACTCACAGAGCAATTTCAAGCTCTACATGAAAGTTATTTCCTCATATGTCTTGAAACTTTGGTTCATAAAGAGCAATTTAAGTCCCATATTTCCTAGTACATGAATTAAATTATTCCCTCTTTGCAAAATGAGAAGGCATAAGTTAGTCTTTTTACAAGAAAATATTCAAAAGCTACACTCTCATATCTTTCCCTCAATATTTCTTTTACTTGTAAATGAAAATATGATTTCCTGGGTCTGCCTGTTTTTCAAAATTAAGAGAAAAAAACTTTACCCTAACAGGGGTAGGATATAAAAGTGTTTATTTTGTGAACTAAAAAAAAACCTACCTCAATTTCTTTACTATGTAAAAAATTCCAAACTTGATAATTACGTTTTTTACCATAATTTAATTTCAAGGAATGTTTTAATTTTTTAAATACCTATCTCTTAGGCTATATATCTATATATCAGTCTAGCTGAACAAATACAAAAGCATACCAATGGATAATAAGAAAAATCAAGCCTAAAAGAAATTGCATGTCAGGGGAAAGTATAATTAAGTTTTTAATAGATCTGATATTCATGCTTGTCTTATTCACTGCTAAACTTCTCAGGGTTACATTTAACAACCAAGATTTTACATTTATAATTCCTGTGTTAAAGCAAAAAAAAAAAAAAACACATGAATTTGAGTCCTTCACTCCCTGCTAGAAAGTCACAAAAGTCTTCCTTATTGATTTGATCTGCTTGAATGCCTGCTTACCCCCACTTAGGGTTGCCACCCTGGTGCTGTAATTGATGTGGTGCTGTGTGTTGCAGTGGTCAAACAGGATCTAAACTAGAAGCCTTATGGACAACCAGTTAGTAGTCAGTCTACAAGTGCTTATGGACTGAGATATGTGTAAAGAGACTGCATGCTGTCAAACAGATTCACTTAAAAATGCTACATCTCTCTCTAGATTTTTGTTTGTGAGGTAACAATATCTGTAGATACATTGAAGTATGTGGGAATATTTTTATTCTGTTTCAATTGTAGGGAGGCAAAATTCCAATCAGATGGACCGCCCCAGAAGCGATAGCTTTCCGAAAGTTTACCTCTGCCAGTGATGTCTGGAGCTATGGAATCGTGATGTGGGAGGTTGTGTCTTATGGGGAGAGACCCTATTGGGAGATGACCAATCAAGATGTAAGTATGGAATTACTCCCCAGCTAGTTTGGAATGAAACGTTTTGCTCTCTGAGTCAGGAGACATGAGATTTTTCATTTCTAAAAAATGGCAGTTGCTAAAGAAAATGAAATATTTGCTTACCGTCTGTTTTGTCATTGAAATATCCTTTATGCAGAAGCTCAAAATAAGTTAGTACAAAGGAAAGTAAGCTACTGTTAATATAAAAGCTCAGTCCCTTGCCAGACAGTTCTAACTATATTGTGGTGATGGTTCATTCATTTAGTTAGTATCATTTTCAAAGATGAAGAGCCACCAAAGAATGAGTACTGACAGGCAAGATTTATGATTTGCATTTGATAAAACCAGCTAATACTCCAGGACATAAGGATGAATATTGATTTAACAGTGTATTCTCCTAGAGGATAAAATGGAATAATCTGTGTTTCTTTAAATAAAGAAATGTAAGGAGAGTTGGATCGCCTATTTATTTGGGAAAACACTGATTTTTTCCCACATGGAAAAATAATTCATGCTTCAAATAATAGAATCCTAAAATCAAAGGAACCATGAAGAAATCTTCTAATCAAGTTCAGAATATTTATTATATGCTGCCTGACATGTAGCTCTTCAGTTTTTGCTTTTGTGATTGTCCATTGTTACTATTGAATACAGTCCCTTCCATTTTGGATCACGTTGAAATTTGATATCTTTTCTTCAAATAACAACCATAAAAGCAGTTAGCATTTATTGATCCATTACTAGGTGCCATACACTATCTGAAGCATTTTACCAACTAATGTCTCATTGCTTCTTTATAAAGCAAGTGTACTGAACAGTCTTAACTCAATAGCATACTAGTTTAAAACATTTATTCTATTTCTCCAATTATTTCTTTCATGCATTCTCTGTAAAATCTCCCCCCTCCCATGCTTTGTGGGTTGTTAGATTCTACAGCTCTCCGGCCACCTTTTGTTAAACATTCAAAGTGTTTTCCAGATCCTCAGGGCCAGCCTGACATTCAGTAGCTAGACTGAGAAGGAAGAACGGTCAGATTTTTGCTCTTCCTCTTCCTCTGCTGAAGTCTGTATCTGGATTTCTCAGGATTGTCCTTGATGGAAGTATAGAAAAGAAGGGGGCATGATGGTTTTTATAATGTTGGTTTGTTGATGTCTCCAAAGGGACAGAAATCCAAGCAGTCCTTGTGAGGTTTATGTCAGCCTTTCCAAAAGCCCTTGAAGGCCTCCTTATGGAAGGTCCCCAGAGGAGAAGGATGTACTCCAACTGACTTCTCCCAATGTCTCTTAAGTGCCAACTGCTCCCCACTTCACAGTCCCTCACTGCACTTTACACATTTCTGCTTCACGTGAGAGAAACCCTTTTATGCTGGATGCTCTGCCAGTGCTCCCTCTCTGGGACTTCTGCTGCAAGCTGCCCCAGCCAGCATGCCTTCACACTTCCCCAAGTGAGAAGCCAGGGCCATACTTGGGCTTTCCCAAGAATTATTTCATAGCATTCTAAAATCACTACAGGTGGTTTTCTTTGTGCCTCACTCGCTTGGCTTAGGAAGGAGTTGCTGACTGGTATTTATCTAATTTTGGGAGCACATAGTATCTATTAGTCTTCAACTTAATGATTTTAGGGGCAGTACAATGGTGAAAGTATCATTAAACTCTTGTTATATTTTTAACAATCCACTAAGAGAGGTGTTATTATTCCTGTTTTGCAATTAAGAAAATGAGCCTTGGGGAGATGAAATTACTTTCTTAAGGTCACAAAACTAACCAAAGTTATACCAGAAATTTCAGCCTGATTCTCTATAATTATTTTCCTAACCACCACATGCCTCCAACTGAATCAATATCTACTTTCCCCCTTTCATTTTCAACCAATGATCCTAGATCAGCCTTCTAATCGAATATAAACTGTTCAACTCAATATGTAATGACTTCTCTGGATTTATCTGGTCTAAACAGAAATCAGACCTATTTGCCACTTTCTATTCTTCAGGTAAATGCCAAACACTAACTTAGCTGTAGAACACTTCAGTTTGGCTTCTAAGTTCTCTTGAGGATCATTTTAATGCCATTCTTTTCTTTAATTTTTCTGAAAGCATTTTATTCTGTCATGACAGCAAGCCTGGTCCCCTTCAATCAAGGAAACATTTGTCCCTTCTTTGCCTAGATAGCTCCTTCTGACATTTGAGATATTTTGAGTTCTAATTCCATCACTCAAAATTATTAGTCCTTTCCAAGTAGGTGTATGATATACATATATATTATCATCCATGCTATTGGCAATTATACCTCAGAGAGCTGTATGTGTCAAAAATAGAATTATTAGCCAAGTGGGCCGTGATGCCAGGTGAATGTCTATGAGTGTTCCTGCTGATCTTGACTGAGCTTACCCATGCTCCTGGGGCTTGGCTCATCTATACTGGGACACCCTGGCTCCCTTCCACGTGGCCTTCATCTTCCTCGGAGACCAGAGGCAAGCTGAGAGTGGACTCATTTGCCAAGTGACTGGAGGGCAAGAATGAGCCCAGCTGCACCTCACTGGCCAACCCCATGATTGAGGATGGCCCAGTCACACTCCTCGTGAGTGGACAATATAAAGTTAGAGGGCAGGGGACATAGAAACAAGGAAATGAGAAAGATTTGGGACACACTGTTTTCTGTGTTCAGCCGTTTGAGTCTTGCTACTCTTCCAGATAACTTTATTTCAAATTATTTAGAAAAATTCAAAGGAATGGTGGTAAAATATTCTCAGCAAGTTGTAAAACTAAAATCTAATGTTTTAACTTTGACTGGGTTTTCCAAGAATCTAAATAAGGTTTACAGAAAAGTATTATTTGAGTACTTATCTTTCTAAATGTTCTGCCTTTAATATAACATCCAATACATGCTCTGTATTTCCTCAGCAAGTTCACAATCATTAGCAGTATTTGTTGCTAGTTAAGTTTGATGCCTCAATTTCTATCCATTCTGATATCCAAGAAACATGACAGATCTACTGTATCTGAAAATCATGATTGCTGAGTATCTCTTTGGAAAGAATTAGCAGATAGCAAAGTAGATGTGCTGATTTGGCAGCTTCAAATGATATCTCCTATAATCTTTGCATTCCAGATGCTATATAATTCTAAAAGGGCTCTGCCACCATGAAAATATCACATTACCAAGACATGCAGAATAACCTGAATCTTTCAGAGGAAAGAGCAGAATGCTCCCATTTCTTTTGATTTAGGATTACCTTTGTCATCACAGAAAGAACCACAACAACACGTAATAAAATAAACTAGAATGATTAAAATGATTTTAGGTAAATATCAGACCATGAACTCTGATTCAAGCTCGGGAATCTAAGATAATATCCTGTAGTCAGTAGAAGGTTTTTTATTGACAACAAACATTATAAATGTCAACATTTTTCAGAACTTAAAAACCCAAAGAAAAGATGATTTCATTGCACTACACTTCTATATTTAGTGGCAGTGTCTTTCTCTTATACTTACTGGGAAACATGAATACATAGATTATACAGAGCATGTAGATAGTAAAACACTTTAAAACTCATTTAAGTTATCCGTTTTTCAATTTTCTCATCTTATAATTATTTTTATCCATTTTCTTAGGCAGCTACTTTTCTGTTACTTTTTCTGTTGGTTTAGATCTTACTTATAAGGTAGCAGAATATTTGATTCCCAAAGGATTTCAAACCACTTTGTACTGGGTGTGACTGTCTTTCTATTCTTTGTTCTTTGTTTCTATTATGATGGGACAGATACATATATACATATATAATACATATAAAAATACTGCTGTAATATTTTGTGATAAACAATAGACTATTTTAAGGTAACAGATAGCATTTGTAATTAACTATTAGGAATTTATTTCTCATCCCAATACTGCAAATTACCAAGATTCAAAAGCGAGTAAATTATTCAACATCTCAGCCTCAGTGTGATAATGTCTAAAGTGAGTACATTGGTAAAACAAATATTGGCTTTCTAAAGATAATACTGCTCTTGGGTGGAAGTAATTATTTTAGGGACTGGTAACTTGTGGTAATTCTTACCCTTTGAAAAAGTGATATATAAAGAAATATGAATACTTCAGTTCAAAACTCCTATTCCTTCCTATTTAAAAACAACAACAGCAAAAACAAAAGTCTTGAACTAAAGGCCAGTAGTCTTGAATTCTAGACTCTCAGTCCGTTTCAATGATTATAAAGAGAATGGACTTGAATAGAGGATTTCTAAGATTTCTTTAATCTCTGAAACTCTACTGATCTACGATTGGTAGACTAAGGAAAAGAAATAACGTATCTTTAGTAACTATTGGAAACAGGAAAGAAATCCTAGTAAAAGGATTGCCTTTGTCATCATAGAAAGAACCACAAGATAATTGGTTTATCTGGAGCTATTTCTATGGTATCTGAGATTATTTCCAGAAATATACTCATAAACTCTAGTCACTTCAGGGGAGCTTCCTAGGTCATGGGAACAAAAGAGCATATACGTGAGATTCGAATATACTTAGCGACACGGTCACTCCCACCACAGCTAGGACTTCATGCAACAAAAAGCACAGCTGATGCTCAGGTTCTTCAACAAACTTCCTGCTGCCCAGTTTTCCAGCCTACGTTTTCACATCTCCGATGCAGGATGCACTCTCTTCCAGAAGAGCTCGTTGTAATTCCAGACACTGATTTTTTATGATGTAAAAAGTCTGATTCTGTGGGATACAATCCATATCTCTCCCATCTTATTTTCTTGGGAGGAAACTATTTCTAATTCCACCAGTGTGACTCAACACCAGGAGAGGGAAGATCACAGGTTTGCTTGCCAGAGACACTTAAATGTGGGTCTTACCACTGTTACTTCTTGCTTTGTAAATGCAGGTGATTACTTAACCTTCTGGAATTTTGAGTGTTTTATCTGTAAAATGTGTATAAATTCTTGTTTTGCAAATATATGGTGAAAAATGAATGTAGATAATAAATGTTCAGTTTGCCTC